ACCCTGGGCCTCGTGGCCGCCCGCGGAGCCGGGATCAGCCCCGCTCCCCCGCCCCGGGGCCACACATCCCGGGGTCCTGCCCGGCTGCAGCACGTGCTGCCTGTCCCTGTGGTGTGATGGGATGCTCATGCAGACGAGGCTGGTGCTGCTTCCTGGGGACTGCTGGGCTCTCTTGGTGCTGCCAGGGGGAATTAGAGGGCGGTTTGAGATGGATGGATGGATGGATGGATGGATGGATGGATGGATGGATGGATGGATGGCACACTGCAGCATGGCAGCTGGGTGGGCATCACTCTGCCCCCAGTGCCAATCATCTGAGCAGGGATTTTCCTGCACCTCCTTGACTGGAGCCCTGACTCCAAGCCCTGCTTCTCCCTTCCCGAGCACTCCTTGGCCGTGGTCCTGTGCTGGCACCGTCAGCCCCGTGCTCGCCGCCTCCCGCCCGCTGCCGCTCAGCCCTGCCTTGGCCTGGGTGTTCCTCCCACATGGATGATGGGACATCCATGCTGGGTCCCCAGCTGGGCCTGCTCTGCTTCCTCCGTCTCTGCTTCTGACCCCGCCGCTCTTGCTCGTTCCTGCTGCTCCACAGCGACTCTGCTGGTGCTTGGCCCCAGGCTTGGGCACAGCTCCTGCTGTTGCCATCACGGGGCCGGGCACTCCGTGGTGCCAGGCAGGCCGTGGGGCCGGGTATTCCAAGGGCTCAGCTCATGCTCTGCCTCCCTCCTCCTGTCCCTCATCCCCTTCCTCCTCCCCACTGCTGCTCTGCGATCCCTCCTGCCGTGCTCCGCCTGCGCCCGGCACTGCGGGGATGATGTGCAGGGGTCTCTGTGCTGGTGTCAGGGGCTGGAGCCTGACGTGGCCCTGCTGGCTGGGCACTGCCTGTCGGGCAGCAGCTCCTCCGAGGGGCTGGGAAAGGCTGAGGCTCCTTGCTGGGGCCGAGCAGCTTGGAGAGTGTTTGACCTGTGCATCCCCAGGGAGCTCCTGGCTTTGCCTGCGGGCAGCAGGCACAGGATGGCGGTTCAGGCACCTCCCTGTTGCCATGGTGGCTTGGGTGTCCTCCTGGCCCTGGCACTGTGGCTGACCCTGCTGCCTGGTGAGCAGACAGGAGCTCAGGGATGCCTGAGCCCTCAGGGTGGGCACTGGGCTGAGTCTTGGTGCTGGGAAGCTAAAGTTGTGTCCAGATGCTCAGCTGTGGGAAGGGCTCCTTGGAGCTGTCAGCTTTCCCAGGCCCTGTGTCCTGCCCATGCTGGAGCTGGTTGCCAGCAAGCCCCTCTGGTGGTGCAGGGGTACCCAGGAGCTGGGATCCTTCCAGGGCCATTCTACGGGGCTCAGACCTCTCTGTGCAATGGGGCTCTTGGGGAGAGCTCGGTACTGAGGCCGAGCACCGCGGTCTGAGTGAGGGCACCATCCTGCCACCAAGGTCACCTTGGTGCTCCAGGCAGAGCTGGGTCTCGTGGGTGGCTCCTGTGCCCCACGGGGAGGGGAAGGGCTGCAGACCCCCAGGCTGCCCCTGCTGACACTCATCTCTCCCCAGGTGATGAGCTCCACCAACGGAGAGCTGAACACAGATGACCCGACGGCAGGACATTCGAACGCCCCCATCACAGCCCCCACCGAGGTGGAGGTGACAGACGATACAAAGTAAGGCCCCAGCCCCGCTGCCCCTCGCCACTGCTGGGCTGGAGGAGGGGTCGCAGCTGCCCTGGGATGGGTCCAGTGCCCTCTGGGGGAACAACAGCCCAGCTGTCCCCTGGCACCCTGTGAGAGGTGTCCCTGCAGGGCCACCACCACCCAGCCCTTCTCACCTTGCCCTGCCCAAGGGCACAGAGGAGCATGGATGGATCTGGGGCTGCTTCTCTGGGGTCCCTGCCTGGCCCTGGCTCTGGTCATGTAGCCAGCCTTGTGTGCCATGACCACTCCCCTGGTCGTTGCCATTTGCTGTGGCAGGTGTCACTTTTGGTGGCCATTGAGGTGCCCCCAGTCCAGCCCCTGCCACGTACCAGGGGCGCTTGGTGGAGCAGCTTTGCCCACGTGGGGCTCACCAAGGCACCGAGGGGTTTCTGTCCTCCCTGACCCCAGGGTTGCTGCACCCTCCGTGCTGTGACCCCGGTGCTGACGGGTCCCCTCTGTCCCCAGGTGCTGCTGTTTCTTCAAGAGAAGGAAGAGGAAAACCACCAAGCGTCGCAAGTGAGCTGCCAGGGCCGGGCGGAGCGGCGAGCGATGGCTCCTCTCCCTCTGGCCGTGGCTGGATCTTGACCCGCGGAGCCCCTGGGGCTGGACGGGGACGGGGGGGCCGGGCCGGACGGGCTCCCCCAGCGCCCCACGCGCAGCTGGGGAGCGGGGCCTCCCCAAACTGCTTGTCCTTTCCTCCGCCACTCGTGGCCGTTTACTCGAACCAAGCCCAACTTCGCTGAAGTTCCTGCGTCCGTCAAACAGAAAAAAGAAAAAGAGAAAAACCCACGGCGTCACTTGCTTTGAGTTTGTAACAAGTCTGAAATGGGGATCAACTACAGACTCTGACCCGTCGCTGTCAGAAGAAGACGAAGACAATTTCGAGAGCAGTGGGCTAAGGAGGAATATTTTTTTTTTTCTGTTGCTTCTTTGTCTCTTAAGTTAATTTAAAGTGAGTCTCGGTGCAGAGTGCTGAGTCGTCAGTCTTTGACCGTCATCTTCAGTGTTACCGAATTCTGCTCTGCCTCCCGGCCCCGCGTCCCCGCCGGGTCCCCTGGGTCAGGCCGGTGGTGACGGGGAGAGCCGGGGGCGCGCGGGGCGGGGAGAGGAAACGCGTTTACAGTTCATTTACGATGCACTTTTGCGAGCAATACAGGCGCCGTCCGGTCCCGCCGAGAGCAGGTCCGAGACTCCCAGGGGCTGGGGGACACAGGGACAGGGACGGCCGAGACCAAAGGGACCCATGAATGGCGGTGGCAAAGCAGGGAGGGGAAGCAAAGCAGCCTCGTCTCTGGTGCTGCCATGTCTTGGGGCTGGATGTTTCCACAACAGCTGTAGGTGTGGGCAGGGCTTGATCGGCCTCGGTTTTACAGCCTGAGCCCCCCCCGCGGCTGCTCCCGGGGGCCGGGCAGGGTGGGGAAGGGGGCCGGGGTGGAATCCCCCACCATGGCATCCCCCCACGGTGGGATCCTCCCGGCCTGCTCCTGGGGCCGGGGGAAATGGAGGTTTTGGAAGTGACACACAGACACCCCCCGCACCCCCACCCTCAGTCCCCTAGCCCGTGCCTCAGTTCCCTCACCCTCTCCCAGCCCCCCACTCTGCAGAGCCCTATGGTCCCTGGGGCGGGTGGGGGGCTCGGTGTCACCCAGGGGGGCTTTGGAATGTCCCCCTCAGCTTCCCAGAGCGTTCCGGGATGAGGAGGCAGAAAGGGGTTAACAGGGAAACACGGCAGCTCCTCCCTGCCGGGGCGGGAGCCTCACCTGGGCGCAGCACCCATTGACCGAGGTGGGTGCTGGGTGCACCCCGGCGCAGGCCAGCGCCCCGACACCCCAAACCCACGCTCACCCCACACCAGTAAGTAGCAAAGGGCTCTGCCCAGCACCCCCTGGGCTGCACCTCCCCGGGGGGGGCACCCAAGGGTGGGGCTCGCCCCTGGCCGCTCACCTGCCAGCAGCGCGGGCTGGGGTACACAGGGTGAGACGGTGGCGGCAGAGGGGTGGGTCCCCTGTCCCCTCCTCACTTGTCCCCGAGCACCACACTGTGGAGTAACCCCAGGCACCTGGAGCACCCCAAGCCTGGGTGTCCCCCACTTCAAGGTGGGGTGGAGGGATTGTGCCACCTGGGAGGAAATGGCGTATTGGTGGTGGGGGGCTGTGTTTTCCACCCCATTTTCACCTCATTTTTACCCCTTGTGCCCCAAGCTGTGCCCTTTACACACCCAAAGCCCCTCTGGGAGTGACCCAGCACAGTCCCCAACCCCAGTGCCACCATGGGAGCATTCCCCTTCCCTGTCCAAATCCAGCCAGTGCCAAAAACATCCAGCATCCAAAACCATGGTGGCCTCCGTCCTGGCACCATCTGCACCCCCCACCCGTGGGATGGTTTGGGGTGATCCCGGTGTTGTGGGGACGCAGCAGCCCCAGATCAGCTTCCAGTGGAGCAGTGTGACACCAGATGGGCCACCCGAAATTCAGGGGATCATCCCAGTGCAATTCCTGCTCAGCATCATCCTGGAGCAATTCCTGCTCAGTTGGCATTGGCTGTGCCGGAGCTGGTGACGAGTGGCAGGTGGTGGGTGATGGGTGACAACAACCCCAAGAGAAGCCATTTCCTCCCTGGGCGTCTCTTCCGCTCCCCGAACCCTGGCAGGAAGAGCGGTGGGTGCAGGGCCCGGCTCAGGGTGCCAGTGGCATTACCGGAGCCTCGTGGTGTCCCCACGGCAGCAGGGACCAGGTGTCCCCCCCGGTGCCCCCAGTGCTGCCCCGGTGTCACCGCGATGGGTGACCGGGCGTGGGGGGGTCCGCAGCGTGCTCGGAGCAGGGCATTGCAGCCTCTGCACTTGAGGAAGGTAGGCAGCACCCAAGGGTGCACCCAGCCGGGGACAGGGGGGGTGTTTAGGGATTGCTCCTCGCCAGGCTCCCCCTGGGGTTTCCCCGGGGGTTTATGGGCACCAGCGGGTGCCACAATGCCTGTCCCAAAGCAGGGAGGGGCACCCAGCCCCCCCCAGGGATGAGAAACTCCCAGGGATGCACCCATGGGAGAGAGAGAGGTGCTGGGGGGGCTCCGTGCCAGGGATCCCCCATTGCCACCCCCATGTCCCTCGGCCCCAGGAGGAGGACAGACCCCGCAGTGGTTTCTGGCCCTGCTCACCGTGCTGGGGGGGTTCATGGGGTAATGGGGGGAGGATGAGAGGTGTCATCAGGCTGCTGTCCCACTGTGATCCGTGGTGTCCCCAAGGACAGTGCACCCACTGTCACCTCCCTCGGGATGATGGGCAGGGCTGGACCTTTGTCCCTGCAGCCATTAGTGAGAGACTCAGGCTGTAAAACTGGGGAGATCAAAGGGTGACAGGAGAGGGTTCCCTGCTGGCAGCACCCTCCTGGTCCCAGGGGACACATCCCCATACTCCAGGCATCCCCACAGGTGGGGGTCAGCCAGGCTGGTGCTGGGGATGCTATTTTGGGATGTGGTGATGGGACTGTCTGGTTCGGCATCCGGCTTTGGGCGGGAGGCCGGGGCTGTGGCTGCTGGAGTGTCCCAGGGCACAGGTGATGAGGGTGCTGGGGTGCAAGTGTGGGTGAGATGGACGTGAGTTTTGGGGTGCTGTTCCTGGGGAGGTGGGAGTGGAGGCTGGGGGTACAGGGGATGAGTAGGTTGGAGGTGTTGGGACCACAGATGTCAGTGCAAAGTTTGTGGGTGTTCATGGTTTAGGTGCCAGTGATGTGGGTGCTGCACAGAGCACGTAGCAGAGCAGTGCAGGTAGCAGTAATGCAGGTGTGGATGATGCAGTGATGCAGGTAGCAGTGATGCAGGTAGCAGTGATGCAGGTGTGGTTGATGCAGTGATGCTGGTGTGGATGATGCAGTGATGCAGGTGCTGCATGAGTGGGAGCAGGGACACAGGTGCTGCTGATGTGGGTGACGGGTGCTAGTGATGGAGGTGCTGCTGATGTGGGTGCTGCTGATGCAAGTACTGATGATGCAGTGACATGGACACCAGTGCTGCAGGTGCTGCTGCAGGTGCTGCTGCAGGTGCTGCACACAGTGGGTCTTACAGGTGCCGGTGATGTGGTGCTGTTGGTGAGGGTGCTACCAGTGACAAGGTACACAAGCGACACAGGCAGCAGTGACACCGGTGCTGGCACTGGGGACCTCCATGTCCCTCCATGTGCTCATCCCTGTGCCAGTGGGTGCTCCCTGCCCCATTATGGGTGCTGTGGGTGCCCCTCTCCACCTCCTGTCCTCCTACACCCCATCACTGGCACCACACATTTAGGAGCCCAGGCAGGGTGGTGACCCAGCAGCCAGGGCAGGATCCGGCTCCTTGGTGCCTCCCTCATCAGCCACCCGGACACTGGACACCGCAGTGGGGACATCCCAGGAATGCCATTCCAGCTGCAGTAGTGACACATCCGTGTTCCCCCAGGCACACAAGGAGTCAGAGGAGACACCTGACCCCATCTACCTCAACATCCAGGAGCTGCGGGAAGAGGCCACCGCCGCCAGCTCGGCCCCAGAGGAGCCTGGCAGCTCCGTGTCGGACTGGGAAACCCACACGGACACGGACAGTGGACATTTGTTTTATTATAACCCCGTGACGGGCGAGACCACGTGGGATTGTCCCTTTGGGCAGGCGGCCGATGGAGTGAGTCCCGCCGCCTCTCCCGCCTCCTCACTCGCACACAGCCCGGAGCTTCCCGAGTGGGAACAGCACGTGGACGAAGGAAGCGGACAGACTTTTTTCTATAATTCGGTGACAGGTGAGACGTCGTGGGACCCCCCCACCGTGGGAGACACAGGCAGCCCCCGGGAAATGCACCCTGGGGGGACGCGGTACGGTCCCGTGGAGCAGAGGGTGAGCACCCGGCGAGGCGCGGGGATGGGCTTGGGATGGGGGCACAGACAGGGATGGGAATGGAGATGAAGAAGGGATGGGATGAAAATGAAAACACAGAGACTGGGATTGAGAAAGGTGTGGGAGATGCGATGGAGGTTGAGATGGAGATGAAGACAGATGAAGATGGACATGGGTATGGATCCAGGGGTGTCGTAAAGGTTGAGAGTGCAGATGGAAACAGGGATGGGATGAAAATGGAGTCAGAGCTGAAGATTGAGAAAGGATGGGAGATGCAATGGAGATGAATATAGAAACAAAGATGGAGATGGGGAATAAAGATGAAGACAGAAGGTGGAGATGGGAGCAGATACAGGGATGTAGAAAAGGAGGGGAATGGAGATGGAAACAGGGATGGAATGGGGATAGGGATGAATTTGGAGATGGGAGACAGGGATGGGAATGAAGATGAAGGTGCAGATGAAGATGGAGATGGGAATGGAGACAGGGATTGAGATGGAGATGGGAATGGAGATGATGGAGATGGGGCAGTCCCCACCTGGGCGAACAGCACAGGGATGCAGATCTCTTGGTTGGGCACAAGATCTTGAACTGTCTCTTCTCTCCAGCCACCCACTCCAGAAACGGATTATCCTGACCTGTCTCCAGATGAGCTGGAGTGTTATCCTGAGGAGGACTATTCGCCCGTGGGCTCCTACGATCAGGGGGCCTCTCTGTGCCTGTCCCCGAGGTGCCCCGAGGAGCTGGGCTCACCCCCGGGCTGGTACGGACACAGCCACCCCGAGGGTATCACGTTCTACCCCGAGCACTTCGGGACTGACACGGTACGGGATAGGGATGGGAACAGGGATTGGGACAGGGAATGGAAGAGGGAAGAACACAGGGATGGGGACAGGGATGCACAAGGACAGGGACAGCAGTGGGGATGGGGACAAGATCAGGGACAAAGATGCAGACAGGGGTGACTGCCAGGGATAAACATCCTCCCAAGCCCACAGAGCAGGGTGTGCAGGGGCTCTGCGGTGCTGTGGGTGCACAGCACAGCCCCCTCCTGGCAGGGGCACCTCGAGCATCACCTGACCCCTCCCTGGCCAGGTTCCATCAGGTGGCCGCCACGAGCGGGCCAGCAGCGGCTCCAGCCAGGACAGCGGGCTCTTCGCCTGGCACGGCACCGTGTCACCGGCACCAGGCAGCAAGGAGGAGAAGGTGAGAACCCCAGGAGGGGCACCCAGCCTGCCCTCACCCCATCACCAGGGAGAGCAAGGGGCAAATTTGACACCTCCACCTTTACTTTCCAGTTTAAAAGTCTCGAAAAAGCCGGAGTGCTCAACCGGACCAAGACAGTGGACAGAGGGAAGCGGCTCCGGTAAGAACGTCCCGGTGTCCCCTGCCACTGGAGACAGGAGTCCAGCAGAGGGAAGGGGCTGTGCTATCCCACTGTGTGATTGACCTCTGTTCTCTTCCCCAGGAAGAACTGGAGCTCCTCCTGGACAGTGCTGGAAGGGGGAATCCTCACCTTCTTCAAGGACTCCAAGCATTCAGCTGCCAGTGCCTTGGTAAGGGCCCCAATGGCCTTGGGGCAGGGCAGCTGCATGGGATGGGACCAGAGTCCCCATGGGAAAGGGCCAGCACCCATGGGAAAGGGCCAGCACCCATGGGAACGGGCCAGCATCCATGGGACTGGACCAGGACTCACAGGATGTGGCCAACATGTGTAGGATGGGGCAGCACCCACATGGTGCTGGCCTCACCTCTGGGTTGGGTGTTCAGGGCTGTCTTGGGGGAGGGAGACCATGGCCAGCCCCCACAAAATGGGGCCAGCACCTATAGGACAGGGCAAGGATCCACAGGATGGGGTCAAAGCTGCAGGATGGGACCAGCACCTATAGGATGAGGCTGACATCCAGGGGACAGGGCCAGCACCCACAAAACAACCCCTGGTACTGTGGGGGGAATCAGCACTTGAGGGATGGGACCAGGACTCACAGGCCAGGGGTGGTGCCCTGCACAGGGACCCCAGCACTGGGACATGTCCACTCACCCCCCAGCACACACAGTGTTGGAGCACCCAGAGCTGGTGAGAGCAGCAGGAGGAAGCAGAGCCAGCCCCAGTCCCCCCCTGGGTCTCGTTCTCCCCCCGCAGTGCCCAGCAGCTGCCACAGGATGCAGAAGTTGCCGTGGGTCTTGCAACACCCTGTGGTGACAGTGGCGGGGGGAGGACAGGGGACCCACAGCTGCTGGAGACAGTGCTGGCCTCACCCCAGGGGTTCAGAGCTCTGTCTGGGGGTGCAAAGGCTCTTGGGGCAGGGGGAGTGTGGTCAAAGCACCTCGAGACCCAGGGCATGGGGAGAAGCAGTGGGTCTGATGCTCTCCCTCTGCAAAATCCCCCTCCTTGGGAGCAGCCACCTTCTTCCTGCAGTGTCACTGAGAGGGACCCCAAAGCTGGAGCCCCCAGGGTCCCTGAGGAGGGCTGGGAATGTCCCTTGAGGTGATGGCAGCCCTATGACCTGGCTGTCCCCAAGCTGGTGGCCGTGACCCTAACCCCACCATGGCAGTCCCATGTCCTAGTCCTGCAGAGACCATAGGAGGGGACAGAGGGATCCCACAGGGGACATTTGGCAGCCTTGCCTTTCTGCAGGAGGGCAGCCCACGCTCCCCAGCAGGATCCCAGTGTCCCTGTCCTCTCTGGGCAGGTGCCACCCTCATCCCCTTGTCCCCACAGAGGCACCCCAGCACCCTGACCACCCCTGAGCACACGGTGGAGCTGCGTGGGGCCACCCTCGCCTGGGCCGGCAGGGACAAGTCCAGCAAGAAGAATGTCCTGGAGGTGAGCGAGTGACAGCAGGAGGGACACCAGTCACACGCCAGGGTCCACAGGGCAGAGCCACTTCTGGCCAGTTCATCCCAGCAGTGCTGCAGGGGATGGACGTGGGGACACTGAGGATGTGCCAGGGTGGGAGTACAGGGACACTGCACTACTGGTCATTGTCCCATTCTGATGGGCACAGAGCGGTCACCAAGGGACCTCTGGCTCCCCGAGGGGCTTTGCACAGGGAGGAGCCGCTCCAGCCGCTCCGGCTCCCGGCACTTTTGGTGTCACGGGAGTTGGTGCCGGGCTCAGTCAGTCACATTGTGGTTCCCAAATCCGGGTGGTTGCGGCAGCCCCGCGCCCTTTCCCTGACCTCTGTGAATTGCTCCGGCAGCTGAGGACGCGGGAGGGCTCGGAATTCCTCATCCAGCATGACTCGGAGCAGATCATCACGGCCTGGCACAGAACCATCTCCGACAGCATCGGCCGCAGGGTGAGCAGGGTCCCCCGGGATGCCCGCGGCCACCCTGGGGCCGGGCCCGGCGTCTCACGGCTCCCCTTCCTTAGGGCTCCGACATCTCCGCAGAGGAGGAGGCCGAAACTGGGGCTGAATTCGGCTCCCGGGAGAGGCTGGGGGGCAGCGAGGAGAGGAGGGCAGGTGAGCACCGGCACCCGGGATGGGCGCGGGGGCCCAGCAAAACCACCCACCCTGCGGGTCCCCAGGCCGGGAGCGCTGACATGAGCTGTGTCCCCGCCAGCGGCCGGACAGGTGACGGGCAGTGCCGAGAGTGACACCAGCAGAGTCCGGAACAAACTCCGCAAGTTCCTGCAGAGGCGGCCGACGATGCAATCCCTGCGGGAGAAGGGCTACATCAGGGGTGGGCGCGGGGGCTGGATCGGGGGGTGCTGGGATGATCCAGAGTGGGTGCTGGGATGGAGCGTTGGGATAGGGCCTATCAAGGGTGGGTGCTGGAATGGGACTGAGTCCCTCGGCGTGTCTCCAGGCTGGAGGAGGGGTGGGACAGTCAGGGATGGAGCTGGGACAGTCAGGGATGGAGCTGGGACGGTCAGGGATGGAGCTGGGACAGGCAGGGATGGAGATGGGACACTGGGTTGTGTGATCAAGCCCAACCCTGACCCAGCATGTTGGTGATGAGCTTGGGAGTGTCCCATCATCTCCAGCCACCCCTGTGGGACACTCCAATGGGAACAAGACCCTCTGTCCCCCACTAGCCATTCTCCTGGTGTCCCCTGGCCACGCTCATGTCCCTGCTGTGTTCCTAGACCAGGTTTTTGGCTGCTCGCTGCTGGCTCTGTGTGAGCGGGAGCGGGGCACGGTGCCACACTTCGTCCTGCAGTGCATCTGGACCGTGGAGAGGAGAGGTACTGCCCTGGGGACAGGGACAGCCTGGGACACTGGCATGGGGAGATGGGGACGGCTCCAGGGACAGCCTACAGGGGATGTTTGGGTTTTCCTTGGAAGCCTGGTGCTTGCTGTGGACATCCTCCAGGGGATAGTGGGGACACGGGGACCTGGAGTTCCCTCAAGAGTGCCTAATGTCCCATCCCAGGGTGGATTGTTTAACTGGGAGCTTTCCCCCGTCTTCATCTGCCCAGGTCTGGACATTGATGGGCTGTACCGGGTCAGTGGCAACCTGGCCACCATCCAGAAACTGCGCTACAAGGTGGAGCATGGTACGGTCACCTGCTGTGACAGTGACAGTGGGGGACAATGGGGTATCACCCCCACTTCAGGGCAGAGAGACAGGGCTAGGGTTGGGGAGGGGGCAGCCAGGGACCCCCACCCATCCCTGGGGCTCTGGACACACCTGAGGTGCTGCCCCACCCACAGACGAGCAGCTGGACCTGGATGACGGGCGCTGGGAGGACATCCACGTTGTCACCGGGGCACTGAAGCTCTTCCTACGGGAGCTGCCAGAGCCACTCATCCCCTTCAGCCACTTCGACAAGTTCATCGCTGCCATCAGTGAGGGATGGGATGGGATGGGATGGGA